CCTGCTTAAGCTATACCTTAGTCTGAGTCAACTAAATGAAACAATGTCTATTCAGTGACTACCTAGGTCATTTCCTAATAAGACAAAACATTAAAACAGTCATTGCTTAATCTGGGTGTAAGGTCAGGCAGCGGCAACCATAAAGAGGCAGATTTTAAAATGCTGCTGAATGAGGCTTTTTGTTTGTTTCTGTGCCTCTCAGTCGGAGCCCTCAAACCAGCAGGGTGGGTCTGATAAGAAATGCAGGGGCCCTATGGGACTGGAATTTTTATTGGACTTAGGGCAGGAAGGGAGGGCTTGGGACAGGAAAAGGGGTTTATAGAGTCCCTTATCCTACTGGAGTTTGTCAGGCGAGTTGGCTAAGATCCAGGATTGGCCAGGAGACCCCACTGATTGACAGGCAGTTCCCTCAGTGTCTGATTGTTGTTTCTTTGTCTCTTGGGTTGTTTGGTGCTTTGTTCCTCAGCCACCTCCATCGACCTAACACTGGGTTTAAATTTATCCACTTTTGGCTTTGTTACCAGTGTAAAAAAGATGCTCAAAGTTGGTGATCATGATATAATTAGGAACACACAAATATACACCTGAAAGAAAAAGAAAAAGATAAAAGGGCTGAATAGTATTCCATTGTGTGTGTGTGTGTGTGTGTGTGTGTGTGTGTGTGTGTGTGTTTGTGACATTTTCCTAATCCATGCATCCATTGATGGACCCTTACATTGATTCCATCACTTGGCAATTGTGAATAATAGTCCAATGACCACAGGAGTGCAGATATCTCTGCAACATTCTGGTTTCATTGCTGAGAAGTCATTGCTTTGTATCTGGCATCATGAGGCTCTTTTGAAGTTAGCTTAGTCTCCTTTCTGCTATAACTTGATTTGGGTATGGAGCACCAAATAGACTTAAAAAGAAAGGTTATTTTTCAAACTTCACTAGCATTTTTTTAAAAAAACATTACCAAGGTGAGGAAGATTCATGCCTATCTGGTGACTTATTGAGCAAAACCATCCTCATCCCATTTTGAAACTTCATTTTGCCTTCCTAGACAGGCAATTTGTTGGCTTCTCCAACTTACCAAGACTTTTTCCTGAGCAATTTCAAGTGTTTGGAATTGTACTTATACCCCAGTGTTCACTTTCTTTTCTATACATTAATATTGGTAGAGTCAGGAAGTGCCTAACACTAGGTCATTTTATATCCTATGCTTCGTAACCTCTTCAATGTGGATAGAAGTAGGTGATAAACCCAGCCTAATTCTCTCTTAAGATCAGGAGCCATCTTGTCAAAAGTTGTAAAGGATTCATTTCTGTTTTCTGTAAAATATTAGGATTTCTATTTGGCCTGGACGTATTTTGATGTTTTAAACTTGCTTGAAATGCCTGCCCATGCCTTGAATTCACCCATGCCTTGAACTCACCCATCCCTGGCTTTCCCTGACCAGATAACAACCCTCTCTGAAACCCTAATGGCGCCTCATAAATTCTGATGTTGGGATCTAAATTTACTCCCTAAGTGTTGAACCATTTAGACCATTAACCTATTACCTGCCTTGGTATTATGCTTGTCAAAATCCTGTTATCTGTAAGTTCTCAAGACACTCCCCTTTTGCAACTTTTTGTGCTACAAAACTGCCCTCCTAGAGAGTTGGAATACTGTCCTCTCTCCCAAGGATTTTGGAAGAGACAGTCCCAGCCGGTCAGAATTATAAGCTTGCTTTAATTTGATTTAAAATTGGAGTCAGTGGTCTTTTCTTTGTGTTGTGCTTTAACAGTAGGTTGAGCTGCCTAAGGACTGAGAAAATGCCTAAACTGTGTCAGTGTTGTGAAGAAGGCAGAGTTCTGACTGATGCATGTGATTTTGAATATTTTTGTTTCAATTTGAATGAAGGGTGCACTTCCCTTTTTATGGCTTCTTTTTGAGAAGAGATTTTCTTATTATGTCAGAATAAATTTTATTACAGTCTTTGTTTTCTACTAATAGAGAAAAAAATAATATGGAATTTCTTAACTCCAAAGAATATTATTTAGTCATATGCACTGTCATAAATGCAGTGTTAATTCATGAACATTTCTTCAGCCAGGATAATTCCTGGATATTATTCCAGGATAATAGAGTAAATGTGTAAGAAGGGCTCACTTCATGCTTTGAGCATAACCCTTACTGCTCTGTGGCTTATTTTAAAATTGACATGTTTATTTGTTGGTTTGTTTCATTTTGTGTTTTCCTTTCTCTTCTCCCTCTCCCCCTAGCTAACTATGGTTGGGAAACAGGATTAACCTTCCCATCCTAGGCCACTGTACCTGTACATGAGGTCACACACTACAAGGAGTGAAGGAATCCAGGCTTCAGGACTGGCCCCAGAAGTTCTAAGAAATGGCTGTCTCTCAAGGCTACAAGTGAATTATGATCCATGTCAGGGCACAGATGGAATGTAGCTTTGGAATCACCTTTTCAAAAGCCCTCTATTTCCCCTGACAATTGGGATGCACAGCCTCTAGAACAGGAGTTCCCTGTGTTTCTCTTTTGCTAGCAAAGTAATAAAACTTCTTTTTTCTTTTTTTCAGAACTGCCTCCTCATAATTGGATTGGCCTCAGGTACAAAGACCAAGTTTTCAGTAACAAAAAGAGAAGTGAGAAAATGAACGGTTGGTGTTACTGTACCAGGTGGTAATTTTTCATTATGTTAAAAATCTACTGTACTCTGGTAAAAGGAAGACTTTGATAAGGTTAGTTAATTTCTTTTTTTTCCCCCTCTGATCTAATCACTTCTGTTGCTTAGATCCTTTTTGCACAACAAAGTAGAATCTGTCTCTAAAATCAGCACTCTCACAATGCACAAGGGTTCAAAATACAATTTCCTTTTGATTTGAGGGGAGAAGTCAAAAGAGAGACAAGTTCCTCTTGGACTGGATGTTTAGGGTTGCCAGTCCCACTGTTGCAGGATGAAGCACTGAGTTTGGAGTATCATAGATCCAAGTCCTTTTAAAGACATATATTTATTGTGTATATGATAAATGAAGCCTTCTAAAACACAGGCCAAAAGCAAAGGCCCATCTTACCTGGGTCAAAAGATAGTATTCAAACCTTTTATAAAGATGTGTCATTTTAGTATTAACAGGAAAATAATTTGTTAGGTAAAGCAACCACTCAGGATTATGAAACCAGAATTAGACAGGCAGTCAGTGTGGATAGGTAAATGGAGTTAGGTCAGGAGGCCAATTTTGAGTGAGTCCAACAAGTTGGAGACTGTACTCTGAGGGATTGAAATGTTCATTCCTTCAGAGCCCTTCCTCCACCCTTATCAAGATAACTTGCCCCTGCTCCAACCTATTGCCAAGGTAACCTGTCCCAGGGATTGTCCCTCCCTGCAGTGAGGTAGAAGGTTGTTAATGTGTCCTTGGCTACCCCATCCTGCCCTTCCACCTTCAGCCCACCTGTTTCCCACCTTTGGGCCTGTGTTTTAGAAGCATCTCACCAAGCATTCCTGGGCCTTTCTTTCGATCTTCAAGAAGAAAGATCAGAGGGAAAAGGCAGGAGAACAAAGGAAGCCTAAGACCTATAAAAAGGGCAGAACACCTCACTTCTTGGGATACCAGGATACCAGCTATGGCCCCCTTCTCCTTCCCGGGAAGGGAGAAGTCTATGTTACCCCTTTTTAAATAAATCGTGCTTTATAGGCTTGCCTCGGCGTGCTTCTCTAATGTTCAAACTTCAGCATATGGGGAAACAGGACTCGTCACCCATCACCAGCAGGGTATCACAGACCGGTCCAAGTTCAGGTTACTTTCATGGGACGCAACAACCATCTCTAACTTTGAAATGTGAGGCTGTTATTGATACTGGCGATGAGAATCAGTCTGAGTCCTGTTTCCCTGATGTTGAAGACTGGACACCTAAGAAACACCACGGCAAACACAGAAAACAAATTTTATTTAAAGGACAGAACAGAAATAGACTTCTCCGCAGATAAGTGGCCCTAGAGTTGTCTGAGGAAGGGACGGGGTGGGGGGTACCCTGCCCCTTTTATTTCAGATTTCCTTTGTTCTCATGCCTCCTCCTTTCCTTCCTGGATCCTGAGTAGTGACTAGTGACCAAAAGGGGTGCCAAAAGGTGGAGTGATCCAAGGACAGGAACTGCAGCCCAGGGGTACAGGCAGGAAGAGAGTGGCCAGGATACATTCATTAACGACCCTTAGAATTACAGGCTGGGAGGGAAAATATCCCCTGTAGGCAGGTAGCCTTGGCAACAGATTGAAGGGCTGGAGGAGGGGAAATGCTTTGGAGGCTGGAGGTATTAGCTTTTCATTTCTTCCTGAATCAGCCCCCATCTTTCTGACCCAATTGTTCATTACCTACATTGACTGTCCTTTTGCCCTACTCCACCCCATTATCAGGCCACTTTTGCTAACCAAGCGCCTGTGTTTGTGTAGCTTCAGGACAGAAGAAGCCTTACTTCTACCAAACCCACAATTCCTTCAAACCTGTAAAAAAATCTACTTCCTGGGTTTTTTGGTGGATATTTACATCATGCCTGGGAAATGTCCTTAACATTTTTAGAAAGAATCTCTTAGGGCAATATCACTTCTTTAGAGCTCTAAGCATAAATATATAAATGTATCATTAATCTATTGATTAAACAGTAACACATTTTAGAACTGGGTAAGCTAAACTACTCAGAGATCCCTCTAGTGCTCGGCTTCCTATACTTGTAAGGGGTAAAATGACTCCTGGAAAATTCCAGAACTAACAACATGAACCAGAGAATTAAACCCAGATCTCTGCAAGCAAATTACCTCCCTTGAGAAAATTTCCTGGATGAAACTAATACATATTTTTAAAAAAATATAGTTTGGAATTTTCCTTCATATTATACGGTCCCAAAAACCCCTACAGCAGAATCCCTCAGAAACTTTATTAAACATGCACTTTCCTGGGCTGTTCCCAGATTGATGGTCAGACTCCTGAAACTGCTTTCCTATTCTCGCACACTGCAGTTTCAGTTTCAAGGCTTTGAACAGTGTGCTCCGGCTGAGTTAAAGCCGTGCTTAGTGTTAAGTTTCTTTTTCTTTCTCTTGACTGTTTTAGGTCAGTTTCACTTTCCAGTTTTCTCTTCCTGTTTCATAACAGCTATTTACTCTGCAACAGGGAGATGCCTCAGCTGGATCACTCCCCAAGCCTCACCTCCCGGTTTTATAGCTCCAAGGCAGACCGGGAAGATTTCAGAAGAGCAAATCAACCAGGTTCCAGTTTGTCAGAACTGCGGAGAAACGGATTGCAGTCATGAGGTCAGTGAAATAAAGAACCACTCTTGCTCTTGAATGCAAATTGTAAGCTGAGCTTCTCACTGTGCAGGGAACTTGTTGTTCATAGGTTCGACATGCCTTCACCAGTTTGGACCTTTATCAGTTTTTTGTTTGTTTTCTGTGATTTTTTTTTTTTCTGGTGTAAATGCGAAGGTTCTCTAAGTTTCTAGACCTGCTCACCAGGTGGAGCTGGTAGCTCGAGTGAGACAGAAACTTTGCTAGACCGAAGGGTATTACTCTTTATGGGCTTTCCTGTCATTGTGTTGTTTGAAATGACTAAGGCAGAGCCTTTTTTCTTGTGATTTTCAAAGGAAGCATTTATTTTCAAAAGGTATTGTGAAAGATGGAATCAGTATTGCAAACCCCACTCCTGTAAACCTGAAATTGATCAGTTCAAGGTGGGACATGGAAGAAACAGTTCTTACAGATGGGGAATTGTTTTTTCATTTCTTATGTGAAAACAAAGCCCGTAGTTTAGAGGTTTTGATTGCTGTGGTAAATGCTGGTGAGTAGCATAAAGTAATTTCACCTCAAAACCAATAATGACTTAATGTCTCGTTTCATGCTGGTCTAATCTCCAGGGATGGAAAGCAGACTAATGGCTGCCTGGTGATGGAGTAGGAAGGCACACAAAGGATCTCTGGGGAATGATAGAAAGAGTCTATAGGGAGTCTACATGGTTTACAAAGGTATAAACATTTTGTCAAAGCCCATCAAATCATACCTTTAAAATAGGTACATTTTATGGAATATAAGTGCAATCTCAGTAAACCTGATTTTTAAAAATGCATGTAGACCTGCTAGAGTTGTGTCATTGGTAGAGGTTCAGGGAGGGAAAGAAAACCACTTTTCCTACCACTTTTCCTACCTATCAGCTATGTTGATACGATTGAGGGTTGATTACTTGGGGAGAGAGGATTATTTAGATCCTATTGATTACTGGAGGAACCAGACAAGGAAGAAGGAAAGAAGAATGCTCTTCATGGTCATATCTGGGCATGGAATGTGTGCCAATTAGCTCAAGTTACCCCTTTCTATATTTTGTGCTCTTGGTCAAGAGTGATGTTAGTTATGTCTGCATGAGTAGGGTCAACCAGAAGGCCAGGGCCTGCTCAGCATCTTGATAACCAGCCTACACAAGAGGCTTTGCAAGGTACTGTGCTTTGTCGTGTCTAGAGCCATTGACTTGAGGTCTGAAGGTAATGCTCTGGACTATGTTGACCTGAAGTCCACATCGAGGTCCTCTGTAGGGACAGAAGTAGGTTGGGCTGCCTTTCTGTAGCAGTGCTAAAAATTGCCAAAGAGGGTGCATGCCTATATCCCAGGTACTCAGGAGGCTGAGGCAGAGGTATTGCAAGTTCAAGGCCTCATCCATTCAGTAATACCCTGTCTCAAAATTTTAAGACATAAAATTAAAAAAAATAAAATAAAATAGAAAGGGCTTGGGGTATAGTTTACAAGTGGAGTACTCCCTGGTTTCAAGATCAAGTAGTATCAATAAATTTTAAAAAAGAATTGCCAAAAGGGAAAATTAGTTGGGAAAATGCCTGGCACCTGCCAGCTATGAGTGTCCTCCAGATGGAGGAACCCTTATTGTTACAGACAACTTATGTTCCCACCACCTAGGCCAGAGACTTGACTCTGGGGCCATCCCAGTAGACCTGGTTCTACCACCAGCTACTTCAGAGACATGAGTGTTGATGAAGTAAGAAAGGAATTTATTTATTCAGTGTGACTACTTAGTGAAGCTGGGGAGACTAGAATCCCAAGGCGGGTCTTTGGGGATATTGACAAAAGTTTCAGGTTTGTATAGGGGAAGGAACAAAAGTGGGTCTTGAAGTATGCACCGTCAAGCAGTCTTGGTTAAACTGGGGTCTGCATGATCATTATTTTGGGTGTGGTTCTGCAGGGAAAGTTGTCATTGCTTGAGGGGGTATTTGTTCCCTGACAAGAGATGATGATTCCTGCTTAAGGGGACACTCTTGGTTTGTAATGGCTCCCATTTAGGGGAGAAGTCCTATGGTGAGATGTTTTGCCTGCAATACATGTTGCTCCTGGACCCTTGAAAATATTTTAGTTACTCATACCTTGGTGTCTTCAATCTTGAAGGGGGACAAGAGAGATGAGGCAAATTTATGACTAGTCAACCTTCTACTACCAGTTTTTGACAGATATTGTGTGTGTGTGTTTGTGTGTGTGTATATGTGTGTGCTGGGAATTGAACCCAGAGGAACTTAACCACTGAGCCACATCCTCAGCCTTTTTTTATATTTTATTTAGAGACAGGGTCTCACTAAGTTGGTGAGGCTGGCTTTGAACTCATGATCTTCCTGCCTCAGCCTCCGAAGCTGCTGGATTACAGGCGTGCCTCACTGTGCCCGGTGACAGACACTCCTTAAATGATTAATGTGTCTAGAGTTAAGAAGGAATTGGATCCAAAGTTTAAAGTAGCAAAATTAAAGCAGAGATGCCAAGTTTTTCCTCTGCTTTTAGTTACCCATTGGACAACTGCAGGCACCTCCAGGTTTCCTCTTCCTTAAATGCCTATGATGCCTCCTGCGTTGTATGTATGCAAATGTGAGCAGAGAAATCCCCAAATGGATGGGAGGTAGGAGGATGGGAAGGATGTTGACTTAAGGCAAAGCTTGCTTCTTTAAAGGGCATTTCAAGGATGGGAAACAGGCAGTTGGAAAGGACAGCCTCAGAGTGAAGTCTTCCTAGAGCTTTGTAGCTCACAGTGTGGTCCAAACTACCATCCCCAGGAAGGTTGTAAATTTCCAACCAGATATCTAAGCATCTTGTGGCCCAGTGAGGTTTACATATAAAATTAACTATCGTAATGTTTGGCAGGTACACATCATAGTGATCATGTACATTTTCTTCACAGTGAGATTCCCAAGAATTCCTTGGAGAAAATTCTTCCACAGCTGAAATGCCATTTCACCTGGAACTTATTCAAGGAAGAAAGTGCCTCATGTTACCTACAAGACAGGGTGTGTAATCAGATCGAATTTCTCAATGCTGAGTCCAAAGCTACAATGTACAATTTGTTGGCCTACATTAAACACCTGGATGGTCAGAACAAGGCAGCTCTGGAATACCTGCGGAAAGCTGAAGAGTCGATCCAGGAAAAGCACGATGAGCAAACAGAGATCAGAAGTCTGGTCACCTGGGGAAACTACGCCTGGGTCTACTATCACATGGACCAACCCGAAGACGCTTGGACCTATGTGAACAAGGTGAAAGACATCTGCGCAAAGTTTTCAAATCCTTACAGCATCGAGTGTCCTGAGCTTGACTGTGAGGAAGGATGGACGCGACTACAGTGTGGAAGAAACGAAAGAGCGAAGATGTGTTTTCAGAAGGCTCTGGAAGAGAAACCCAACAACCCCGAATCCTCCACTGGACTGGCAATTGCAATGTACCATCTGGATAAGAAACCAAAGAAGAACTTCTCTGTCAATGCTCTGAAGCAGGCCATTGACCTGAATACCAACAACCAGTATCTCAAAGTTCTGTTAGCCCTGAGCCTGCAGAAGATGAATGAAAAAGACGAAGCGGATAAATTGGTTGAGGAAGCTTTGGAGAAGGCCCCTTACCAAACAGATGTCCTGCAAAAGGCAGCCTATTATTACGAGAAAAAAGGTAACCTAGACAAAGCTATTGAACTGTTTCTAAGGGCATTGGAATCCACTCCAAACAATAGCTATCTCTATTACCATATTATGTGCTGCTACAAGGAAATGGCCATACAGATGCAGAATATAGAAGAACCGAAAGCCAGTGAATATAGAGAGAAGATTGAAGAACTAAGGAAATTGGCTAAAGACCATATGGATAAAATTTTTGAGAATGGGTTGGATCCTCTGGGTGCACCCTCTGAATTCACCAAGTTCCGGGAAGCAGAAAAATGTTATCGGCAGGTGTTCGGTAAAGAGATCCCTGAGGCCGAGAGGCAACCACTTCAACCACACTCTTGCAGCCTTCAGAAATATCAGGGTAAGTCTGAAGACACTTCCGCTGTCCAAAATGACTTAGAGAGTTTTCACCTAAGCCCAACATCAACTGAGAAGGAAGAGATGCAACATCCTTCCCAGAGCACAACCAAGAGTCCACTTCAACAAAGTCCGCCAAATTCTTGGTATCTCCAAGGGTTAAATCACAAGCGGGAGGGAAATCTGCAGCAGGCCGTGGAATGTTATGAGAAGAAACTGGGACACCTTCTAAGGGATGCTCCATCAGGTATTGGCCAAGTGTTCCTGTCAGCATATGGGCTTGAAGGTGACAGTGAAGAAATGTGCCAGGATGCAGGCAGCTCCACTTCCAGAGAGCGTCGGGACTCCTGAACTGAGGAGAGAAGAGGAAGCAGCATCAGAAGGTCTGGAAGATGTCTGGAACGGGGCAGAAGTCTGGGGAGGTGGGGTAGGGGCGGGGCGGGGGGCATGGAGGCACCTGGGGCAGCTGAGCTGGGACATCTTGCTTATTGCTTTCAAGTACATTTTGAAGAGTTGTTTTCTCCTGTCTGTCTCTCCTGACATTCCAGCCACACAGTTATCAGGTCAGCCGGTCATCACTGATGGAAGCAGTGCTTCAGCTTATGCAATCCTGACTTGTTCTCAGTTTGGGACTCAGTTTGTCATGTAATCCCCATTCCTGTCCTTCTTGCCAAATGGTAACATGTGGTGACTGCCTACCAACAAAATCTGCAGTCTTCTTCCTTCACTCCATTTCCCATTTCCCATTCATCCTTCTGGGCCCAGAAAATGAGATGAGTTTTAGACTAACCCTAAAATAATCCTTACATCCTATTCTTAGCTTTATCGGTGTATTTTTGTGTATTCTTGATAGTGACACTATGCTAAGTATGTATTCTTGACAGTAGTGCTACAATAAATCTAAAAATTTCAACTCAGAATAGTCATCATGTGATTTGTGTGACTCTAAGAAGGTAATACTAATAATCTTCAAAGTTTCATCTAGGGATGATGGGTAATTGCTAAATCATACCGTGCTTTCTTAATATTTTAACCCCTCCCTTAGAACTCACCGTCTCCCCTGTGACCAGCCCAACCTTAGCCTATTGGAACTATAACTCTCATTCCAGCTAAAGAGGCTCAGTGGAGCCCAGTGCCCAGCTTCTGCTGTTGACCAAGGTACCACATATGCTGTGCACACAGGAATACTTGGGCAAATGCTATCCTGACAGTGTATGAGAGGCACCAGTACTAGACTAGCCCAAGAACAAAGGCCCATCCAGGCATGCAATGGCCCCTTTAAAATTGCCAGCATCTGACATAGTGAATTTCATTTTGTTCAGGTAAAAGTCAGGTCAGGACAACAGGGTTTCAAACTCATGGGAAATAAGCTCTTTGGCTTTTAAATTTTTCCTCTGCAGTCCTTTTTGTTTTGTTTTCTTGCCAGGGATTGAACCCAGGGGTGCTTAACCACTGAGCTACATCCCCAGCCCTTGTTAACTCTTGTTATTTTTCTATTTTGAGACAGGGTCTCACTAAGTTGCTTAGGTCCTCACTAAGTTGCTGAGGCTGGCCTCAAACTTAGATCCTCCTACCTTAGCCTCCTAAGCTGGTGGGATTACAGACACGCATCACCACTTCTAGCTGTAGTCCATTTTTTTATTGACTCATGAATATAATTGTTAGTCTCAGGATTTAAAGAAGAAAATAAAAATATACAAATAAAATCAGCATGTGAATGCATTTCTTCCAAATTCCTTTTCCCTTAGACTGGGAATTAATATGCATATGATATCTGAAATAAATTCTGAAATGATTCTTTCATTGGTTTGACACCTATAAATTTGTGTGTAGTTTTGTGAGTGATGGAAAGACTATGGCCATAAATGAATTTGTATCTCTGAATTTATAATTTAGAGCCCCTACCAAACAAAGCAACTCTCAGCTATTCAAAGACAAAATATACGTACCTAGGACCATTACCAAACCCCAAGATCTAGACCTGTCCGGAATTTTGAGTTTTGCTAAATACCATGATAAGAAGATAATTAACTACACAACGGTGAATATAGTAAATAGAAATATATTATACAACTTGAAAATTGCCAAGAGAGTAGATTTTAAGAGTTTTCACCACACATACACAGAAATGATAAATATCGAAGGTAACACATATGTTATATAACTTGACAGTCATTCCACAGTATAGACATACACCAAAACATAATACTGCATGCAATAAATAAATACAATTTTTACATTTTTTTTATACCAAGGATTGAACCCATAGGTACTTAACTACTAAGCCACATCCCCAGTCCTTTCTATATTTTATTTAGAAAGAGGGTCTTGCTAAGTTGCTTAGGGGCCTCACTAAATTGCTGAGGCTGGCTTTGAATTCACAATTCTCCTGTCTCAGCCTCCCCAGCTTCTGGGATTATAGGCATGCATCACTATACCCAGCTTAATAAATATATTTTTTACTTGTCAACTAAAATACTTTTAATTTCAAAAAGACGCTAATGTAAGGGAACAATAGCGTAATGAATAAATTTAGCCAGTGGTACCACCATTCCCATGTCAAGTACTCTCTGCCTGTCATCACTTACATAATTCTGATAAAAATGCTATATGCACTGTGACATATCATCCAAGAAGACCACACAGATCATCACTCTTAAGATCTTATAAGATGAGCAGAGTGGAAATATAAAGTCCACCTAGATATCTGAGAGTGTGTGTGAGCCACTGTGGATCTCAAAAACAGTGGTTACTAGTTGCCAAAATTTTCTCAGTAAGAAATGGAAACTACTTGAAAATAACCATAATTTTAGAAAGTAATAGATTGTATGTACATTTGAGTATATGGAGTTTAAGGCATTTTTACCTATATTCTTTTTCTTTTTACCTATGTATCTTTTTCTGTTCCGATATGTTAGGAGACGTGGAGAAATCATTTTTGTTCCCTCTTCACACACAGGCATAAGGCAATGAAAGCACATTCTATCACTTAGCTATCATGGTATAACAAACCATTCCAGAATTTGTGGCTTACAACAATAACCATTTTATTTGCTTAGATTTCTTGAGTTAAAAAAGTGGCCTGGGCTCAGTTGCTGGGGGGGGGGGAGGTTCTTCTGCCAGTTATGTCTGGAGTTATGCAATGGCAATCAGCCTGTGACTTGACTTGGTCTGGATGATTTAATAGGATGTCACTCATCTGTCTAGTAGTCAGTGCTGGCTTTTGGCTAGGTCGTTTTCTTCATGTGGCTCCTCTTTCTCAAGAATGCAAGGTAAAGGTTCTTCATATAGCAACCTGGTCAGCAGGAGAAAGAGAAAGAACAAATCAACAAGGGCCTCTTGTAACTGGGGCTCAGAACTCCCACATTATTTCTGCCACATTCTGTTGACTAGTGCAAGCGTGGAGGCCAGGCTAGATGAAAGAGAATGGAAAAATAGACTCCACCTTTTGATGGAAAGGGAGGTAAAATCAAAAGGTAAGAGAGCATGTGCATGGGAAAGAGAGAAGTTGTGGCCATTTCCTTGCCATCTACCACAAACAGGATGTCAAAGAATTGGGCATATATTAGATATAAGAGGCTAAACCATAGATTCTTAGAATTTCGTACTTAAAAGAGACGTTAGAGATCATCTATGCCAGGGACTTTTAAAGTGTGTCTCTTGGACCAGCAGCATCAATTTCACTGAGTAATATGGCAGTTGTACGATTCCAGACCTCCTGAATCAGAAACCCTGAGAATGGACGTTGGAACCTATGTTTTAACAAGTCCTACAAGTGATGCATACAAAAGTTTGAGAACCACTAATAGAAAATCGTTTTTAATACTCACTGCACATCAAAATCATCTAAAAAACATTTTAAAAATATAAATGTCAGGCTGGGGTTGTGGCTCATTGGTAGAGTACTCGCCTAGCATGTGTGAGGTACTGGTTTCAATCCCCAGCACCACATAAAAAAAACTAAATCAATAAAATAAAGGGATTGTGTCCATCTACAACTAAAAATAATTGAAAAAATCAATGTCTCAGACCCTACTCTAGAGATTTCCATTAAATTGACCTGGGAGGGGGCCCAGGCACTCATATTAACCGATGAGGTAACTAAGAGACACAGAGATCAAACAGCTTTTCGAGGTCACACACCTTGTGATGTTATGCTTGAATTCAGGACCCCTCAAAGACCACCAGAGACCCAAGATCGATGCAAGCAGCAAAGAAGTGTTTATTGCGAGCTAGCTCAGTCCTCTGCACGCACACACAGCAACTGGTGACGCTGAGAGGCCCCGAGCCCAGGGTTTGCAGCAGTTTTATACATTCTCTGGAGAGAGCAGGGACTTCACATACATCATAGCAAATCATCACACACCACAGGAAAATCAAATAACAACTCTAAAACATGATTAGCACATTCACTAGCGGAAACAAGTTGGGTAGGGGTGATTGGTCAGTACAAAAGGGGTATTCATTTGAACTGATTGGTTTGAGCCAAGAGGGGTGTACGTGCTGAACTACATGGTTTCCCAACTTGTTATTAACCACCATAAAATACTGGGAGGGTCATCTGGCATCCCAGGTATTTCCCTGTCTCATGCTGATTGATGGCTGCTAGGGGGCTGCTATGGATCCCCACCTAGCCTGACTGAGTCAGGGACACCTGGTGCAGCAGATCTCTCCTGTTATTTGTAGATAAACAACTTAGCAGGGTGGGAATGTGCCTAGGAGTGCTCTGTGGGTTTTTCCAAGGACAAAGGCCACGTCCCTTCCTTGGACAGGCTTTGCTCTAAGATAGAGGCTGGTTTTTCAGTGAGTCAGACATGCACTGGTCCTAGATTCCTGATCAGCAGCCATGAAGTCAAGGGTGGCTGTGCTTCTAATACAAATACCATTTTTTTTCATGTATAACTTCTAATCAATGTTTTTTTTTTGTTGGTTGTTTTTTAAGTACAAATTCCAAAGCATCCAAGAGAAGAAAGCCATGTTCCCTAAGAGTTGACTTCAGTGTTTTTCTACTACTATGAATAAACTCTTTTGCAGAACATCATTTTGGTGCTTGGCAAAACCATTGGGCCCAATTCAATACAAGTGCCTGCACTTTTCATCCTGCTGATTTACACAAAGAGCCCACCTACCAAAGAGCACTGCTTTTCTGGGGTCGATCTTACTTAACAACCAAACTACCTTATTAAGGTTTGTTCATCAGGATCAAGGTGAGGGATGTGGAGTCAGGCTTTCATCTCTCTTTCATAGATTACAAATAACTAGGAAAATCAAAACCAGCAAATCAATAGCAGCTCTATATCCTTGAAAGGGGTCGAGAGCCCAGTCTGTCAGAAGTGAGTAGAGGGGTCATTCTCCCTCTGATGTGACCTCTCCCAACCACCAGCTTTCAAGAGTTGTTAGAGAGTTTGCATCTGGAATGTCCCCTGCAAAGCTCATGTGTTGGACGAATGGTCCCCTACTGCAGCGAAGTTCAGAGGTGGGACTTTTGGAGAATGATTAGATCATGCTCACGGGGCGGGGGGGACTAATCCATAGGATGGATTAATCTATTGACAGCTGACTAATGGGAAGTGGGACCTGATTCAAAGAAGTAGGTCACTGGAGGTCTGCCTTGGAACTGTTCTTCTCCCTCTCTCTTGCTGTCTCTCCTTCCTGACTGCCAGGTGCTTAAAGTCACCCTACCCTCCACGGTGAGGTTTCTGCCTTGGAGTCAGTCAATCACGGACTGAATCTCTGAAACTGTGAGCCAAAATAAATATTTTCTCTTCCAAGTTGTTCTTGCCAGGTATTTTGGTCACAGTGATGAAAATCTGACTCATGTAGACAGGGATCCCACGTCAGGAATGCAATTAGTCTCTGTATCCTGAAGGTGTTCAGAGCACATCACCCAAGTTACTCCACTTTGATGTGAGGATCGCTT